GTTCGGTACAAGTATTATACGCTGAATAGGTATTGCACTTTAAATCAAAAGTTCTGTAGCAATCACAATAATACAAATCAAAAAAGCATAATCACCTTTTTCACTTAAGACAAAATCTTGAGTCTTCACGAAAATTTTAAGTCTAACATCACTGCATAAACGGACATAATATCAAACACCCTCTGGTTGTAGTTGTAGTCATGGAGACCCCATTCGGATTGCATAGAAATCTTCTGTTATATGGATTGCTTCTCAGTCGTTCTTCTACGCATTGTTTTCCATCCTAGTCCCACATTCAAGCTCTTTGTGAATAAACTCAAATCGAAGGTATTATCTTGATGGGTAAAGCCATGAGTCGCTTTTAGACAGTTGGGACTCAATTCAGTCAATGAGCTATGTATGTGATTGCAGATTGTAGATTGTCTAGGAGAATGAATCGGTCAGGGGTCTGGTTCCTGAGTCGAACGATTAGTCCATTCTGACAAAAAATAATAAAAAAAAAAATGGTCAAAACCGTTGAATGTTTGGAACGGTTTAACTATTCAAATCAGTGGTTTATTGACCAAATTAACATTTTTTGTAAATATCTGGTTTTGGGGAAAACCGGAAACGGTAAAACAGAACCGATCACCTAATCATTCTCGGTTTTTCTGGTCCGACCATCCGGTCCGATTGGGTCTTGAAACCATGTTGTCTCGTGCACACAATTAATAATTGCTCACATTTTGTTCGATGCAATTCCTTTTCAGATGTTAAAAATCGACGTCAATTCGTAGTTGTAGCACGTGAACCTAATCTCTTTACATTTTTTACCAAAAATAATGAGAAAGAAAAAAAGAATATCTTTACTATTGAGTTATTGGCTGGCTACTTATATAACCATGCCAACCACCTAAATGCATGTGATTTGCTTGATTTTCTCTCTAATTTTTTTATCTGATTGGGAGTGATTTATAGATTAAAAAAAAGTAAAGGTCAGTTTGGTTTGTAGTTAAAATTGGAATAGAGTTCTCTTAAAATTGGAATCAGAAATGATACATTCTTTTTGGCTGTTTGGTTCAGATAAGAATCAGAATTAGAATCAACTGGAATGGATTTTTATTCTTAAATGAGGAAAGGGAATGCAAATTCCCTCATAATCATATAAACTAATGAATGAATGTCATTCCACTAAATATAAGTATAGGATTCTAATTCCACCCAACCAAATGGATCCTGAGAAAGGATGGGATGGGATGGGATGGGATGAGAAAGGATGTGATGGGAAGAGAAAATTTTTTTTCTCAATTCTTTCACCTGTGTTTGGTTGCTGAGACCAGTAATCCTGCTAAATTTGTTTTCCAATGTTTGATTGATGAGAAAATTTTACAAGATTGTTGGATCTATCCCAATTTGACAAATCCATGTATTCTTACAATACTTGTTTTGAGGACGACGTGGCACAATAGTATTTGAACAATGAAACATGTGATGTTGAAGAAACCAAAATCTTGGTTTCTAGAGAAGAAAGTATACATATTTCCTGCTCTTCTCGGTTTCATTTCGAATTATTGGCACCTTAACCTATCATTCTTATCAAAATACTACAGCTAAAAACCAGAAAATTAATATCTCAAGATGCCTGTAACAATTAAAAACTATCTTACAGTTCCACAAAGAAAACTAGAAAAACCAGAAAATTAATATGGTAGAAGAAATTATGCCTAAACAAAGAATATTGTAAAAATTGGGTCAAACAAATACAATAAGGAAAAGAATCAGCAAAATACGTATTAGTGTTTAATAGAAAAATAAGAAACAGAGCAATAATAAACATCATTAACAGAGTAAGAGTCAATAGAAAAAAAAAATTAACTGTTGTAACCTTCAGTAGCTCAAAAAAAAAGGAAAAACCTGAGATGACTTGAAACAGAGCAATAATAAACATCAAACATCAAACTGGAAGATCTAGTTCCCAACAACAAAAAAACGGAAGATCTGTTTCCCAACATAACACCAGAGAGTTCCCAACTACAAAAAATATCATATATGATGAGTTCCAACGTTAAAATGAGAGATTTGGTGCTGAGATCTGGAACGATGGTGAGATGGCACCGGAGATGCCAAATATGGTGCTGGGATCTGAAGGGGGAACTCGCTCAATGAAAGAAGACAACGATGAGACGAAGGGGGAACTCATAAAATGAACGAAGACAAAAACAATACAAAAAAGAACGAAAATCTCAAAGGGATGCCAGATTTAAGCCAACCTTTGAAAGAAATCGTTGGAGATGGCGTCGGAGAGATACTGTTGGACGATGTGTAGGAAGAACACGACTATCTTCAAAGTGCTCTCGATAATATTTTTTCACAAATGGCCAAATTTTCTTTTCCCACCGGGGTCTCACCATTTTGGTGCAACCCCACTAGACCTGTTCATGGATCGGACTGGGCTTTTCACTCTGTATTAACAAATTTTTCTAAGGTCCGAGCCCAACCCGACCATCGGGCCTACAACTTGGGCCCGAGCCCGACCCTCATAAAAAGCCCGAAGCCCGGGCCTGGGCCCGAACCCGAAATTTAGCCCATACTGTTACTACTGCTGAAGCAACTGAATAGAGAGAGAGAGAGAGAGAAATTATAAAGAAAATAATAAAAATGTATATATTAAATTATAAATATATATTTTAATAAATATTATATTATTTATATATTTTATATAATATTTAAAATACATATTATATTATTTATAAAAATATATAATATTGAGCCGGGCCGGGCATTTTTGACAAATCCCAAGCCCGGCCTGAAACACGGTCGGGCTTACTGTGTTAGGCCTGAGGTTAGGCTCGTGGGCCTAATTACATGACCAAGCCCAACCGGGGTGCGGGCTGGGCCATCAGGCTACCCGACCCATGAACAGGTCTAAACCCCACGTATCGATATTTGGGAACCCGCATTCCACCTCTTTCTCTCTCAATTCCAGCTTTTCTTTCAAAACAAACACATGAAAAATGAAATATTCTTTAAAGATGATTCCCATCCCATCTTTTTCTTAACAACCAAACAGACGATAAATTGAAATCGTGTGAAGTGATTGGGTATTTAAGTTGGACCACAGGCGAGGGAAGTCCACGCATCAAAACTTATGTACTCCATTCAGGCTTTTCCATCCCACTAATTATACACCATGCGGCGGAACGGGATCTACTCTTCACACGGGGGCATAACATATAAGTAAGGAGATGTTCCCAATGTATGATACGATATGCGTGTGAGGCGCCCTGTGTGAAGAGAAGATCCGGTCTCTCACGCGGCACTACGTAATTGCTCTTTTGGAGATGAAGCTTATTCTCCTCGTCGAATTTGAAACCACACGTGTCTGGTGATGGAAACCATGGACATGATTGACTTTATGTCAGCCTTTTGGTAGTAGCTACTAGCTAATTAGCTACCGATCCCGTCCGATCCGGTCCGGTCCTTCTTCGTACCTCTCTCCCTACCTCTTTGACCACAACTTGTCTTTTGGGGTGCCGACGCTGCTCACTACTCATTCATACTTTAGTCACACACTCACACCCTCACCCAACCTTTCACCCCGTCGCCCCCCGCTGGGAACGTTCCCAGCTCCCTCCACCCTTCTACTCCCGTGTTTGTTTTATTATAAGAATTCATTTAGTAAATTATTGAGTTATTTCTCAACCAAGTTGCGCCGGCCAATTTTCCGGTTTCGGTTTCAAACTTGATAGAAAGAAAAGTGATTGAGTTCGAGGTTGAGCCTTTGAGGACGACACCACCTTGGCCCCCCAATTCCATCCAAACAAAACGCAATCAACCGAATTAGAAAGAAAAAAAAAAAGGAAAAGACAGCGTAGATAGGTGTTGTGGCTAAGTCTTAAGTTCGAATCCCGAAATCACTATTACTTGGCCCCTTTTAAAAAATAAGTATTAAATTTTCAATTGGATAATAAATAAATTAATAAAATTTCTCTATCCATTAGAGAATAAAATAATGATAAAGTACTGATGCACTATCATCGAAATTTGGACCTTATGGACCCCAACTGATGTCATCACTCATTCGCCTTCCCATATGCAACCATTACTGGTCCATCGTGGGTTACTGGTACGAGAAGGTGATCGCCATATGTGCAACTCAACAGTCAACACCAACTCTGGTGACATCTTTATCACATAATCTCGTTGATGAAGGGACAAAGTTCGCATTAGATGGTTGAGATCGATTAATACCTAGACTAATCTGAGTTGTGGGCCTCTTACTTTGTCTGGCATTCACTCATATATTCCGAGACTGAAATTAGGTTTTAAGAGCCTAAACTCTAGGATTAGATCATCATCTGAGACAAAATTTGGCAGTTTATTAATTCTTTATCTTATGGGCTATCGAACAGAGTAAGCCCTCCCTAACTAAACCCTAGGTTCCTAATTTCCTATCCCAAGCTAGCTGGCACCTGCACCTTCAGGCTGATAATTCTTTATCGGTATTTGTAAGTTTATCAAATACCTATGCCGCTAGTGCTAAATGCTAAACCATAGAACGGAGTGAATATCAGACAGAGACGGTTTTATCACTCGTGAATCGTAATGACCAAACAGCTGTTTTCATTTAAAAAAATGCTCTTCTTTCGATGACGCCTATGCAAAAGCCTACCGAAGAAGCCACTTGGCAGCAAATCAAAAAAAGGGGGAGTATACTGACTACAGTGTCTACGAGACTACGACGTACATAACATTGTCTCTGTACAAAATATCATTACACGCAGTCAAGCTCCAATCACGCGTTCTTGGACCCCCTTGCAGGCGCCTTCCCTTGATCACCACGTCACTAGGACCCGAACACCCTGACAGCCTGTCACTGCTCCCACAGAATTTGATACCCAATCAGTCAAAAACACGTGGCGCTCTTCTGACGCGAAACCCACCCCTTCTACAGTTGTCCCTCCTCATCCTCCCCCTTCCTGCCTTCCTCTCCCAGCGGCCAGCGATATAAATATACGTATTTCTCTCGACTCTTGATATCTCACACCAACTTAACAAACAGTCCCCCTGCATCATCACCTTTCCTCTCGACAGTCGACATAATCGATAGACTCGATACCTTTGTGTTCCATATCCAATGGCGCCCATTCACAACTTTGTCCTTGTGAGCTGTCTTCTCCTGCTCTCCTCCTTCGTAAACCCCTCCACCGCGACCTCGAGGATGCTGGCTCTTGTTCAACAGCAGCCGCTGGTTCTCAAGTATCACAACGGCGTTCTTCTGAAAGGCAATTTCACGGTGAACATTATCTGGTACGGTAAGTTCTCCCCGGTCCAGCGCTCCATACTCGTCGACTTTTTTCAATCCCTGAACGCCCCTCGGCTTCGTGCTGCTCCCTCCGTCTCGTCGTGGTGGGGAATTACTGACAAGTACAAAGTGGGTTCTAGCAAACTCATCTTAGGGAGGCAAATCCTGGACGAGGAATGCTCTCTGGGGAAGTCTCTCAAGACCTCTCACATCGTTGCTTTGGCTGCCAAAGGAGACCACAAGAACGCGATCAACGTGGTCTTCACGGCCAAAGATATTGTTGTAGATGGATTTTGTATGAGCCGTTGCGGCACCCACGGTTCTGCTTTGGGAACTGCGGGAACAAAGAAGAGTAAGTTCGCCTACGTGTGGGTCGGTAACTCGGAGACTCAATGCCCCGGCCAGTGCTCCTGGCCCTTCCATCAACCGATTTACGGTCCACAGACACCGCCGTTGGTGCCTCCGAACGGCGATGTCGGGGTCGACGGCATGATTATTAACCTGGCGACGGTGCTGGCAGGGACGGTGACCAATCCATTCAACAGCGGTTTCTTTCAGGGGCCACCGAGCGCGCCATTAGAGGCCGTGTCAGCTTGTACTGGTATTTTCGGAAAGGGAGCTTACCCGGGTTACCCAGGTGAGGTATTGGTGGATAAGACCACGGGGGCTAGCTACAATGCGCACGGCGTCAACGGACGGAAGTACCTGCTCCCAGCCATGTGGGACCCAAAAACATCTGCGTGCGCAACGCTTGTGTGAAGTTAGGAAGGCGTATGTGGTGGGTTGGTTGAATCTATACGTATGTAGATACACGGTTGCAGATAGTATATGTAATTATGTATACGGAATGGAACTTGTCATTTTGCTCTGCCCTTGTACAATTTTCCTGTTTTACTTTACTTTCCTTTACATAAGGAAGAAAAAAAGGTGAATATATATATATATATATATAATAAATTAATTAATGAAGGAGCTATTACCAAAAAAACAAATATTAATCAATGGAGCAATAAAATTACTTGGATTCGTTTATTCTCTTTTTTGACAAAGAAAATAATGATGGAAGGAACAAAAATAACAAATAAAATAATAATGAGGTATAGGGTGGTTTTGGCTTTCATAGATTTCTGACTCCATGAGCGTCACCATCAGATTGCCTCATGGTTTGAGGGTTTGCAATGTTTTGAGTGGTTGCAATCTCATCTGAGGAGCTGAGAAAGCAGCTCCTAGTCTAATGGAGGCATCCATTGATTTTGTGAAAAAACATCAGATTTTACTAATTTTCTCTCTCATTGAATGAAGATGAGCAAGCTGAAGCTCCATGACAATTGTCACTTTATTCAATCGTGGGCTTTGGCCCAGGGTGGGATTATAGCCCAATGACATAATACCCTGTCAATATGACAAAATGCTTTTTCTTTTAATTTTAAAAGAACATGTTGTGAGAAACAATTAGATGATTTTGATTTATTTTTAGAACTGAAAACAAGAAAAACAATTCACGAAGAACAACCCCTAAATCAATAAAGATTCGTTTATTCAATGTATTGTCCACCTGAAAGGACATGTTTTATCGACTGAAATTAAATAATCTCCTGAAGACATTGTAATTAATACTGATTAGTTCACTATTGATCTCTACAAAGAAAAAACTAGATCTTAGAAAAATACGCATACGCATGGACCAAATGGGAGTCAGCTAGCTACCGTTAGGTCTCTCAGTCACTGGACAAATGAGAATAGGCATAGTCGTTCTAATTTATATATTTGGAGAGCTATATACGACAGTGGAATGGGTTTTGAACTTGTGGTCTTCGACAGAGGGCAGGGCCCACGGGGCTGGCCCGTGAATGACCTTCTATGTTCTGGGTTGTTCTGTCTGTATCCTTTCTAGAATAAGAATATGAAGGTGCTTCATGAAGTGGAGTGGATTGGATGCTTGGACGATAAGCTTCTGACAAGGAAAGAGAAAATTGCAAAATGATGAGCTACAGGGTAAAGAGTAATGGCCACAAACAAACAGCCAAGGGTCCCATGCAAATTAAAAAACATGGTTTAGCACCTTATTTTGATGTTTTTGTTGTTCCCAAGGGTTAGTTTGAAAATAGTATAAATATGCAAAGTGCCAACCAGCTGACCGGTAAGGTTTCCTGCTGTGTTGGGGAATGGGTTAGCTCTATCGTGTAGCCCTTCGGAATATATAAAAAAAGAAATAGTATATATTACAAATATATACAGTATAAATATATAAAAATTAATAACAAAATACGAGATTTTACAATCTACATATTTATATCTACACTCAATTTAGAAAGAGTGCAAATAAAAATATATACAGTACAAATATAAGGTTTAAAGATACTGTATACAATGTTTTGCCATAAACATATTTGTATTAGCATTCTACCCACACTGAGTCTAAGCTTTTCATGTTCAAATAGAACATAGAAGATACTACTTTTTTAGGAGTAGCCCATGTTTAGACTTTCATAATAATAATAATAATAATAAATGTGTCACTTTTTATTAATATGAAAATTAATTAATAAATTATATTAATTGAAATTTTATTTTTAATCAATAGTAAAATAATTTTTTTAGTTAAAGTTATTATTTAACTTGAATTGATAATATTATAATTTTTAGTTAACTTATTAATTAATATATCATATTAATTGAATTTTATTTATATGATAATTTATTAGTTAATTGTATGTTTAATTTGATCTTAAATCTTTTTTTTTATTTGCTACAAACATTTGAATGAATGTAAAACCTTCTATAACTTCTATTAAAAGATTTAGAAACGTCTTACTACTTTTATCATATTGGTAAATTGGTTATCAGTTTTTAGATATCATTCCTTATGAGCTATGATAGATATGCCATGTTTTCAAAACCGAACCAGATCGGATAGTCGGACCAAAAAAAATCGAGAACCGATTAGGTAATCGGTTTCATTTTACCCTAAAACTGCTTTTTACCAAAAAAAAACCATTGATTTGATCAACAACCCACTAACCCGGGCAATCAAAATATCGACCCAGACAACAATTTTTTGCCTTTTTTATTTTTTTAAGTCAGAACAAGCTATTCGTTCGAACCTAACGGTCGGACCATTCGCCCCAATAACCAGTCCCCAAAATGGTTCCCTTTCCAATCCGGTTTTAAAAACCTTGAGATATGTTGGTGATGAATATTTGTTAATACTTTAGTAGGATAGAAGTGAGGAGAAGAGAAAATATAGGACTCAATGGCTCCATTTAGGACTGTCAATGGTATTCGAAAATCTGATTTCAAATTTGAGATTCAACATAATCGAATCGAATTCGAATATCTAATTGGTCGAATTCAGATATCCTATTCATACCAAATAACTAATCAGATTTGAATTCGGATATGACCTTATTCGATTCGATAAACATATGAATTCGATCGATTATTTAACTCTTATATATAATATATAAATTTTTTAAATGTTTTATATAATCTATATATATATATAATAACTAAATTATATAAATAATTTATATACTTTATATAAATAAAATATTTATTTTATATATTTATTAATTATCTAAAATAAATTAATTAATCAAATTCGAATTCGAATTGAATATTTGAATATTTAATCAGATTCAAATTTGAATATTAATTTTTGATATCCTTTGGATATCGAATTTTTTAATTGGATCCAAATTTGGATATTGCCTGATCCAATTCGAATTAGATCCATTTACACCCCTAGCTCCATTTGGTTTGTGAGGTGGTAAGGAAAAATATGTAATATTCTTCCCTTTCCATGTTTGGTTTGTGGAATGTCATAAGATGGGATGGAAAAAAAAGTTGGGATTCTAATTGGGATGTAGAATCTCACCATTTTGGTGGAAACTAGTGGGAATGCAGGGAGAAACTTGCTTAACAAAAATAAAGACCTTCATTGTAGTATTTCTAAGAATTAATATAAGATCATGACGTATAAATAAATTATTAATTACTTAATAATTAAACATCTTCATTGAAGTATTTCTAAGAGCTAATATCATATCCATGGCCTATAAATAAATTATTAATTAGTTAATAACATAATTTAATTACAAATAATTAATGAATAAAAATATTAATCAATTAAACATAATTTAATAATTAATTATTTTTCAGAATAAAATATTCAAAATTTTCATTAAGTCATAATTAATAGTTAAATAAAATATTAACTAATACAATTTAAATATTAATTAATGTTAATAATTAATTAAAAAACTAATATCAAATTAATAAGTAATAATAAAATCATAAATAAATTATTAATTAATACATAATTAACAATAAAATAGTTATTAATAAATTAACTAATTAGTGAAAAATAATTTATTAATTTATTAATAATTAATACATTAATTAAGTCATAGGTAATAATAATAATAATAATAATAATAATAATAAAACATATTAAAATGTTTTATTAACCTAATAAAAATTAAAATTTTAATTACTAATAATAATTAATTAATAAATAAATAATGTAAAATAAATTATTAATTAATCCATAATAAATTTTAATAAAATAAAATTTGAAATCTTAATTCTTAATTAATAATTAATTAATATTAAAATATAGAATAATAAAAATATTACTAATTACTTAATTAATTAATTAATAATATTACTAGGGTTGATTTTCACACTATTTTCCCTTTTGCAACTAAATAATAGAATGTGAAAAAATTTCACCATTTTTCCTTTCTCAGCCCATCCCACCTTCCAACAAACTAAACACAACCTAAGGGAGAGACTTTGAGTGGAGACTTTTAAGGAGACAATAATTTGAAGTGCTGGCAAGGTATTATGGTGAGAAAACATTAGCTACGAGAAGTGTCGTACAACAACTCAGGGATCCTCTAGTGTAGGGATGCAAACGAATTGGATCGGATTTGAATCAGGGTATATTCAAATTTGACCCGACATTGTTCATGTTAGATCTGATCCGATCCGAAGATCCAATCAGATTTGATTTTAATTTGAATCCTATCAGTAAGTCAGATCATTGGATCTGATTCAATCCGACCCGTTTTCTTTAAAAATTAATAAATTATTAAAAGAAAAATAAAATATACTAATTTAAATAAAATACAAATATTTTTTTAATGATTTTCATCAAATTATTTTCCATCATATATATACATGTTTTTTATAAAAAAGTAAATAATATAACATAATTATAAAAATATATTTATAAATAAATAACATATATATGTATTATATATATATATATATATATATATTTATATTTATAAATATATAATGTATCAGATCAGATCTTCTCAAATCAAATAGCGGGTGATCTGAATCCGATCCAAAGATCTAAACAGGAGTGATCCGAATTCAACCAAATAAAATCGAATCTTGGATCGGATCAGATCATGATCTGACCCATTTTGCACCCCTACTCTAGTGAAATGCCAACATGCCACTATTTGAAATAAAAAACAACTGATGTGATTGTATTGAATTTATTTTAAATGGCGGTGTGTTTGTTTTTCAATCAGTGTCAATGAATTGTTTTGTAACCATGGTTGTAGGTAATGTGATCTCGTTTATGGCTTAGTGGCATTTCAACTACTTCACAAACACATACACAATAAAAAAGCAAAACTTAATCTCAATTTAGATAATTGCTCTGAAACAATAGACAGGGAATGCCGACAGACAACTATGTTTTATAATAATAATCCCTTCGTCTTTTATACTTAAATTTAAATAATTCCTCTCAACGAGCTTTCTTTCCCCAAAGGCTTAGGTGATGCATTCAGCTCCTAGACACAAGATTTGAGTTGATTGAATTGAAAATCATGTTGTTTCTAATTTTCCAAATCAACCA